AATTTGAATTTAAATGCTAGAAGATAGACCAACGATTAGAACTGTCTCCTAACTATTTCCAATAGTCAATAATTGTCAAACATCTATTAGAGTTAGTTTTTCAAGTATATAAGGCTCTCATAATGGCTAAGAAACATAAGAAATGCTTCTAAGATCAAAAAGAGCTCAAAAATAGTAAAAACTCTCCCCATCCTTCTTGCACTTCACTCTAATCTTTGTAATAGAGTTAAGCACTTCATCTTATACCATTCAGATCAGGTCAGTGATCATAGGTACTGTCTTATTTCTATTCTCTTTGATTACTTAGAGTATGCAAGTCACTCTAAGGGGATTGATCAAGCTTGGGTTAGCTTGATTGAGTGCATAGGTTCTAACTCAACCTAGAAAAAGTTAGTTTTAAGTTTTGGTTGATTCTAGAAAAAATCGTTGTTAAAGGTTATGGCTGAGCTTGTGAAAAGCCATTGTAAAAGCTTAATGGAATCTTGGGAATTTTACCATTTAAAGTGATTTGATTTGGAAAATCCTTGGTTGAAAGATTAAGGTAGTGGATATAGGTCTTTAACCAGACCACTATAAATCTTTGTGTATTGTCTACCCTATTTTATTTTTCATTTCATTCTTTGTTAAATCGTTCCTTCATCATGCATTTAACTTCTCATCATTGATTTTTAACTTACCCCCAATTAGAAGTTAATCTAAGTTAGAGCCAAAAAGCGCTATTCACCCCCCCTCTAGCACATTTATTTGGGACCAACAGTGGATAACTTAGCTAACCCCCTCACTAAAGTTTTGTCCTAACAGAAACATGATCGTTAGTTGAAGGGCTTTGGTAGTAAATACAAGGGTGATTAACTTTAGTGTAAATGAAAGATTGTAAGTGTAAGCCCTACAAGCCAATAGGTTTTGTGCTTATAAAACACTACATTAATTAATCATATTTCATGTTAAATACATTATAGATATTTTATATAATTTATGAGGTAATTTTTAAATCCATGAGCTTATTTCTAAAAAGTTATGAGAGACTTATGTAGATAAAGTCCTTAGAACATAATGGCCATACAAAGAAATTATAAAGGTTATAATTAAAAGATTTTTATGCATCAAAGCTTTGTTCCTATATATGCTCTTGGTCATTATATTGTCAAGAATATGGACATTAATAATGCTCAAAAACTAGTACATGCTAAGCCTCCTTAGTTTGAAAGTAAGCTACTGATCTTATAACTTGAAGTATGTGAGATACTTAAGGATAGTATGTGGGTGCTTGTTAAAGAATAAGTTCATTGAACATGACCTGGTGTGAGACTTTCATTTGGTGTCTCACTCAAGTGTTTATGGAAATACTCACATTTATCAATAGTGTAAGTAATGGTTAGATTTATGATACCAGGTCATCTTATATGTGAATCGTCATGGTTTGATTTCACTTTTATTGGTTTGAAGGCGACCAGATCCCTAAACAAGGTGCTTTTGGGTGTGGCATGAAGCATGTGAAATTGAATGAGTAGTCTTGAGAGGGTTCATCACCCCAAGTGATTAAATGGAACATATCTCATTTGCTTCTAGCTTATATTGACTAAAAGTCCTTGACCAAGGCAATCTTGATAAGTTATTATGGAAGCCACAAGCCTAATATGGATATGTTAGAAAGTAGTTATCGAGCCAAACTTTCTATTTATTTAGGAAATATAATGAAAGGATCGAATTATAAAGAGATACTGTACATTGAAAGATTAGTCAAACCTTATTGACTCTTTTGATATTTAGAGGGTCATGATATATTGTTAGATGCCCCTCATAATCTGTAAATATAAATATAAAAATTTAATTGAATTAATTTATATATATTACCAACATTTGGGCACCTAGTGTGTCACACTCATAAAGTGAATTATTGAAATTAATTTAAGTTCAATTGGATATGATCTAATTGATTTTGTAAAGGCTTAATCTAATTAAGTATTGGGCTAAATCAAATATGATTTCATGGAGCATAAAATAAAGGCCCAATTAGCTCAAGACATTTTCTAATCCTTGTTGGATGTTAAATAGGTCAATTCACTATATAAAAGAATCCTTTAGCCACCTCTCGAATGTACAAAAGAGTTCTATTTTTATTTCTCATGTCTTGAGATAGGATTATAGCCAAAAAGAGATAGACACAATGAAGCTCAAAGTTGAGAGTTAGATAGCATAAATTTTGGCTTTGGGAATCACATAATATTAGTGAAGTGATTTCGGCAAATCATTGTGTGGATCATCATTGAAGGCAAGACAATTATACTGCTATCATTTGATAAGTCCTAAATGGCGTACAAAATTTTTTTTAAAAAAAGGAAGACTCTACCAGAGAAAGCAAACTCAAACTTTTAGGTATGTTGAAATCTTTCTCTTTTGGTTTTTCCTAATTTAATTTCAATTAAAGTGAGCCATGGCTTAGGAGATTAAAATTTTAATCTTCAGCTGCATATGATCCGCCTTAGAATGATTCAAATCCCTTTCAAATTATTTGGATGATTTGCATATTTTCTTTTATAAAATTTCTCAATTACTTTTAACTTATTTGTACTTTAATCAAACCTAAAAGACAATTAATGCAATCAATATCCAATATTCTTATTTTATTTCTATTTGAACTTAAAATATTAAATATAAAACTATAATGCATATTTTATTTCTATTTAAACTTAAATTACTAATTACAAAACTATAATGAATAAAACATAAATAGTTAAATACAATATACAGGATTTCACATAATGGTTAAATATATAAATAGTCAAATAATATAAAAAAATAAAGAAAACTTTACGTCTTCTTAAGTTCACAGTGAATGGTCTTTGCACTCCCTTGTTCAAGCTCAAAAACTCATAAATCTTGTTTGAAGAATGATGTTTGTTTTAGTAGTGAGTTACAAAGAAGAAAATAAAATAAAAATAAAAAGATAAAAGAGAAGAAAAAGAGAAAAAGAGGCATGGAGAAATTTAAGAATTAGGGTAAATTTGGGTAGGGCTTGTAAAGTTATTTTATTGTTTTTATTTGTATTAATGATTAAATATAAAAATTATTTTAAAAGTGCCATGAAAAATATATATAATAAATAATAATTTTTAAAATATATATAATAAATAAACATTTTTAAATATTTTGTTGCCTTCATAAGTATACTACCCTCTGCCTTTGCCAATGTACATAGTTTACTAATGTGTTCTTGTCAAGATGAATGTGTTTCGAACATACATAGTAAGCTAATGTGTTTTTGCCGTGAGGAATGTATTTTTGCCTTGAGGAATGTATTTTTCTCATGATGAATGTGTTCTTCTCATAATAAATGTGTTTTTTCAAACATGTTCTTTCCATGATATTCAGTAATCACTTTTCTTGATAATTGTTTTTAAGCAATTATCTTACTTGATATATAAAACAGATTCTACAATTCATCAGGACACTAGATAGATTCAATTGACTCCCTCTCTTAAACATTTTTTCTCAAGCATTTTCTAAGTTGTTCCCAAAATACTTTCTCTTTAACTTAATTATTTTCACCTTATTAAGGATGAGCAAAACCAAACTAGATCAATTACCAATCCAAAAAAAAATGCAATTTGAGTAAAATGGTTTGCTCTAATTGGTCCATTAGGTCAATTAATATCCTTCATATTAATATATTATAATTATTATACCTTAGTAATGCTTTGTGATATTAAATGTTATGAATATATATATAAATTTTATATATACATATAATTTATACATAAGCATTATTATAACTTATAATAAACTTTATTTATATAATTACATTTAATAACTTTATTAGTTATCACCTTAGTTTTTATAACATATTATTTATACAAATTTTGATATAAAACATTATAACATATAAGTTATGTCATTAATTTTACATTGATATATATATATACATATTAAAGTAAATTATTATATACATATACATATATTTGATTTATACATAACTATTACTATAATTTATAATAGACTTCCTTTATATAATTACACTTAATAACTTTATTAGTTATCACCTTAATTTTTGTAACATATTATTTATTATTAATTATTATTTATACAAATTTTCATATAAAAATTAAAATATTATAACATATAAGTTGTGTCATTAATTTTATATGTACAGTAAAGTAATATATTATATATATACATATATTTAATTTTATAAATAAATATTACTGTATCTTATAATAAACTTTATTTATATGATTACGCTTAATAATTATGTGAATGAATGAATATATGTATGTTTTTTAATGTTTAAATTATTTACATATTTTATAATAATGAATGAAGTTTATAAATTTTAATATTGTAATTTATTAAAAAAATAAAATTTTAATTAATTGATCCAAAATCGAGTGAACCGAATCAATTTTATATTTAATTAGTTTGATCTTTCTTTATGTATAATTAATTTTAATTAATTTTTTAAAAAATATTTAATACTTTTGATTTATATTATAGATACAATGAACTAAATTACCCAATCCATTCATTTAATCACTCTTTTGCCTTATTCTGTACCTTATTCCGTCATTTCCCTATATTCTACATTTAACCATCATCATATGACACTTCATGTTAAAGGCTTCTAGCCCATCTCATTTTTCTTATCACAGGACTACCCATCTCCTTATCACGAAAGAACTCCTCACCGATTTCAACAATTTGATCCCATGATTCAGTATGTCAAAACTGTCACTGTAACAGTTTAGCAATAGTGGTTTTTCTTTTTTTGAGCAGGCAGTAGTTTTCCGAGCATTGCAGAACTGGGCCGCCTGGTACTTTGGAGTTAAGTTTTGTACGAAACCCTGTGAACAGTACGGCGAACACCGTAGAATTTTCCAAAGGACAGACAAGACCGGTATCAACTTCCAAGAAAGTAGGAACTAGTGGCAATATCATCAGCCACGTGGCACGTCACCAGACCACACAACACTACATATTTTCTGCATCTCTAGACAGGTTAGCACAAGCTCACGTTACTTTTTGCCTTTTTCTCGTTTTAATGACAGGTTGGCTTGAGCCCAATGTACTCTCCCGATAATCTGATGTTCAAGCGAACCCCGGCTTGACAAGGAACACTAGGGTACAGCTAAGAATAGACATATGAAAAATGCAACATTGCACATTGAAATTCACATATCCATTAGAGCACTAACCATGTTCTTTCTCAAGGTATTTCCTTTTTCTTTTTGTGCAATTTCTATTTCTCTTCTTTCTTTTCTTTTGTTTTCTTTTCCTTTTTGGGCTTTTGTTATTCTTGCTTTTTATTGCCTGGTTTCACAGACGTGGAGAGCATCTGCATTTGGAGTTTACGGGTACTTGAATTTCACCAGAAATGGATTCTTGTAAGCTTTTTTTTGTTCATTCCTGCAGAAGTTTATGCTTCTTATATAGCTATAATGCTGCCTTTATACTTGGAGTCATAATGAGGAATTTAGCTGCTAGAGGGAAAGCTAATGGTATATGGGTCAAAATATGCTTTGCTTTTACCTTTTTCGCTGATGAAATTGTTGGGGTTTTCTTATGAAATAATTAATTGAAGTTAAGAACTGGGTTTTGAGTCTTTCAATTGACAATTGAATACCAATATAGATTGGATAAAGCTGGCATTTTCTGAGTGGTAATATGTTAATGAGCTTGGAGATCAGAATTGTGTATGACACTTGAGAATTTGCTTCCTTTAACGCTTTTGCAATAATAACTGCTGTTTAACTTACATAATCAAAGGTCAATCTTTGATTTATATGAGTTTGGCAGGTATGTGTTCTATGAGCATGCATCTTCTCTCCTTCTTGAGTGATATTGGTTTTTAGTAGTGTTCAATAGAATCCAATATTGTGCTCAGCAAAGCTTAAATGCTAGGAAATTATCTCTTGTCAGCCCTATATAAATATTTTAAGATTTCTTTGATTTTCAGGGAGCACTCCAAGAAATTCCAACCAGAAGATATGCAAATGCGGATAGAGGGGAAGAACTGCATAGTCACAGGAGCAAATTCTGGCATTGGCTTCGCAACTGCTGAGGGTCTTGCATCACGGTGTTGATCATTTTCTTACTTCTTCTGATTGTTTGGTTATTTTGGATGGAATGCATTCCTCTTTTTCTCATTTTTTGTTCATGCTATTGTGATATTTTACGCAGTGGGGCAACTGTCTATTTGGTGTGCCGTAACAAGGAGAGGGGAGAAGCTGCTCTTTCAAAAATTCAGTCTTCAACAGGCAATCAAAATGTTCATTTGGAGGTACTTATCATGCTTCCCTTGCTTATCTGTTGGTTTTAGTTATGGGCTCTGGAGAGGTTATTTCTTTTGAATTTTGGTAAGCTAAGCCCTCACAGATTTACAGATTTGTGGTTGATAATTGATCTAAAAATTTCTTCACATGTTTCAATCTTAAATAGCTTATTAAATTTAGATTGCAGATTTGCAATCTTTCATCCATCAGTGAGATCAAGTCATTTGCATCCAGATTCTCTTCAAAGGATGTTCCAGTTCATGTTCTTGTAAGTTCTTCTGCTTTGCTTATTATAAGTTCAAGTTGCTCCAAGAAATACTAATTGCTTTACAACCTGCTGGGACATAACGACATGGTTTAAGTTCTAAATAATTACTACCATCTTCTAATGTGTACTTATTTGTTTACCATTCCTTGAGATGTGCATACTTGACTTTGTTTAATTGAAAACTTCTTATAGAGTGGTATCTTTTTGTTTCCTGTTCCAATTTATAATGAGATATCATCCTTTTAGGTACAGCCTGCAATTCTGCACAGCTATTGCTGTATCATGTAAAGCTGATAAATTTTTTTTATTTTGATATGATTTGTTGCCTTTAGGTCAACAATGCTGGAGTGCTGGAGCAAAAACGAGTCACCACATCTGAAGGGTATGCTAGTCACTTGATAACTGTAGGACTTATATGATGCATCATATGTTTGTTCGTTTGTAAAACTGAAGAAAATGAAATGCATACATGATGCCCCTTCTTTCCTATTCTCCTGTGCCTCCAGATTTGAGTTGAACTTTGCTGTAAATGTATTGGGCAATTTTGCCACAACAGAATTAATGTTGCCTTTGCTGGAGAAAGCTGCACCTGATGCTCGAGTCATCACAATTTCCTCTGGTGGAATGTATACTGCTCCCTTGACCAATGATCTGCAGATGGTGTTTTTTTGTCTCCTTCTCTACCCCTTTGTAAAGCTCTTAATATTGCATTAGTTCAATGAGTGAATGCTTATGAAACTCCCCTTCGATTGTGAAACTGCAGTCTAGTGATGGAAATTTTGATGGGTTAGAGCAATATGCTAGGAACAAGCGAGTTCAGGTCAGTTAAGTTGATAGCTTTTTCACTGCAGGGATTTGTTAAGAAATTTATTGTTCTTTTTCTCTGATTGATATTTTACATATTATATTCTTATTGGTTATATATTGTCAGCAAGTCAACTAAATTAAATGGTCAGTCCTTAAATCAAGCAAAAAACTAGGAAAACAAGATAATAGATTGCATACCTGGCCAGCATTCTAACTTATCTAATTTTTATATTCAATATGCAGCTTAAATATACACACATAGTAGGTCTTGGACTTTTCATGGATGTCCGATGAAGGCATTGGTAAAGCTGGTGAACCATGTTTATTACTACATTTTGAAGCATATGGATATATCTAGCAGACTCTTTTGGATAAAAGCTAACTAATTTGGTTGTTTTCTGGATTGTTGACCTGATAAGGAAACACATTCAGGAAATAGATTTCTTAAGTTGGTAATGTATATGAGAGTCAATTCAGAGTCTGTTCTGTAATGTACATATTACCTTGTCCTGAATATCTTATCTCTCAAAATTGATCTACTCATCTACCAAGGGATAGTCTTGAGAATGCCCCAAATTTGTTTTTTGTGTTTCACTTCCCAAGTTGGGCATTTATTGTTTGACATTGAAGGAATGTTGAAGGCTAGTTGCTATTGTTTATTAGGTGGCACTAACAGAAAAGTGGGCTGACATGTACAAGAACAAAGGGATTGGGTTCTACTCAATGCACCCAGGTTGGGCTGAGACACCTGGAGTAGCTAAGAGTTTACCTGGTTTTAACAAAAGGTGAGTCACTTCCTTTTTCAAGCAGCAGTTAAAAAAGTTCTACTCATCTTTGTCCAATTCATAACAATGACTGCTTAGGTCTTTCATTTGTTGTCCTTTTCCCCATTATAAATGTACTGCAGGTTTTCGGGAAATCTCAGAACTAGTGAAGAGGGTGCAGACACAGTTATATGGTTGGCTTTACAGCCTAAAGAGAAGTTGGTATCTGGTGGTTTCTACTTTGATAGGGCTGAAGCACCTAAACACCTAAAGTTAGCAGTTACTAGCCAGTCTCATGTGATAATAGACTCCATCACTGACACTCTTCGTTCCATGTTAGTCTCCTCTCCCGAATAAAAAATATAGCTCCCTGTGAAGCAATTGAGCCAAAACTGTTCCAAGGGATCTCTTGGTGCCTTTAGCTGCTGCATTATGCCATTACATACAGTTTCTTGGTTATTTATTTTGTAAGTGTGTTCATGGACAAGCAGTTTGTTTTATGTTATAACTCTGTCCCATATGTTGTTTAGTTTGGAATGGGCACTGTGAAGGGAACTACATCTTAAGTAATGCTATAGAGAAAAATGAGGAATCTTTGATTCAGGTTTCCTCTCTTACTGAGAAAGCATTTATTCTTAATGCATTCTGTAACGATTCAAGTGGTACACTAAAGAAAAAAGCCAATGCATCAGCTTTTTTGCCTATATTTTTTGTCCAGGTAATCCCCAATGCCTGATACAAACTGTTAATACTCCTTCCTTCTATGTTCCTAGCGACAGAAGATGTTCCTTTAGACAAAGAATCACATTCAAATTCCTTCTTTGGGTTTGCATACTATACGAATATTAAAAGTCAAAGTCAAACAACATTCATCTAAGATTTTGAGAAGTTTCAACTCTTTAAGAATTTGAATCATAAACTTAATAATCCCTAAAGAGTTTAAATGCTAATGTAACAAGCAATCCCTTGGACTGTCCGTATTTGAAATATTAATCTATTAAAACCACAAGTTTGTGCTTTCTGTATAGGAAGAAAGCCTTACTATTTCATGCGTGGATGCAAATCCCAACCCATACAAAACGCTTTTATGTTATTTACAAATGCTTTTCACTGAATTTTATCAGCACCGTCAACTGGCTACATTTTTACTACATAACCTTTGTGAATCTTTAGCTGCACTCAATGCTACAGTGCTATTTGTCAACGTGGACAATGCCTCGGAGTCAGGAACCCAAGAGCAAGGGCTTTCTTAACCAGTACTGCTGAAACCTCTGCCTTGCATACTCCATGTAGTCAAAGTCTATCTTGTTTACATGACCCTGTATACACCAACCACAGAATTAGTCCACTCTCTCCCTGGAAAGCTAATGGAAAAGCAATGAAAGATACTGCAGAAACACACTACCGAGATAATTCCCCATAAGCCCCAAAACAGATGATTAGCAAGAGTGTACTTCTCTGCATCATTAAGTAGCTGCTCCACTTCAGCTTCACCGGGTTTTTTACCTGCATGCAATCAAGCGAAACAAGTATGTAAAAACCAATTACAACATATAATTTTTCAAGACTTAACTCAGAAGTATCTTCATACTGGTAAAGGCTTGTTAGATATATTCACACCTCTTGTCGCCAGTCAGAATGTTAGTCTGACAAGAAAACTAAATCTGATTTATTCTACAATATTTCTCTTTTTTTATCGACATTCATTAAATAATTTTCTATACAGTATTAAGAGAACTATAACTAACCTGAAGAGGTGAGATATGCACAGATGAATCTTTGGCGCTCCTCCAGATCTGTTGTCCAAATGCAAAAAGAACACGCATGATTAGACCCAGAAATGCAGGACAGTTTTGAAGTCATTGAACATGGGATGCTTCTAAATTGCTAACATTTGCTCACCAGGGTATATGCTGTAGTCCAAAATATGGGGTGTCTCAGAATGATAATTTGCTGCCATCTCACAGAAGTGATTAGCAAGATCATAAGCAACAGGATTGTAACTTGCATACTCATAGTCCTGTACAAAGGGAACAAATGATTCCTCAAAACATGCATAATCAGCATGTAATTTCATTTATCTATCCTGGAAATGCCATTTTTAATTGTAGTATGGAAGTGAGACACAAATGTAAGCTAAAATGATGTAAATATTTGCACCAAAGACCATCACAAGCAATGCAAGAGAAAAAGAATCAGAAAATTAGGTAAAAAGCAGACAAATCACAGGAAAATATGGATAAATCATCAAACAATGATTTCCCAGCCTGCATTCATAATTTCAGAAAATAGATAACCAATTTGGGGTCTGTAGAAGATAAGTAAAGTCAAGCAAACAAAACATGGCCCATTAAACATCATCACATACTCAAGTCAAAGCCTCAGTGCATTAAATAGGCTTATTAAGAGATAAATAGGAACCTCAGGAAAGAGGCTGACCCAGTCCCTTGGCTTCTCATCTTTTGCATTTCTTTTGTTTCATATACTCAGTGCAGTTGAAGCTTCAGCTGCAATTTCTTATAAATGCTGTCACCATACAGACCTCATCTGCAATTTCAGCTTACAAAATCTAGGAATAAACAAGATTTTAAGATATATATATATATATTAACTTGTTATTTTGAATAAAAATAATAATACTTCATTAAGTGTAAAAAATTAAGTTAATGAAGCAGACAACAGCTCAATTGACTTATCCAACTTGGCTGACACTAGTATAATCTATGATCAGCCCACAGATGAAACAATTATGCCATGAACTCAAGCAAAAAAATTGCCATAAGAATGCACATACATTACTAGGAAGTTGTCTACTCTTACTACTGTTTTCTACCAGAGGATTACAAAAGATGAGATCCAGATGTTGAAATGCAGACTATTAACTTAACAATGCAAGAATTTTGGTTGAATAGTACAATTTTCTGATATGTTGATTGGACAAGTAGTTGTAAACACACATTTAACTAATTATTTAGAGGGAAAAGGCGGTAGTTATAACTTCAATTCAAGCGCACATTTAGTAGTCTCCCCTTTCACATGCCAAAATAAAGAAACATCAGGAAAGTTGGTACAAAAAAAGTGCTTTAGTAACCTCTAGAACAGAAACAATTTTACATAAGCCATATTTGCAAGTAATCACAACTGAACAGAAAACTTACAATTAGGGTAATTGCTCTTGTCTCTTCATCCATCATTATGTTACCATATTGCAAATCATTGTGACAAAACCCAATCTCTTGAGAGCCCTGTGTTAACTCTTTCTCTAGCATGCTGATTTCCTCTCCTAGAATGTCCAAGCCAAATTCTTTTGCATCTTCTTGGGAACACAATTTTTTTGCCTGACTAAGCCATGTCCTGGGAAAAAAAAAAATCAGATCAATTACTTCAACTGAAAAAAATAATAATAAAAGCACTAACATCAGATATGCATATTAGTACCTCAATCTCTCCCAGAGAAGTACATCTTTTGGACCAGGCATGTCAAGATTGTGGAACTCTCTCAATTTAGCTGCTACAAGAGCAGATATTTCAGGGTCACGGAGGTCAGCAGCAGAGAGTGTCTGGTAAAGCCAATAAAAGGTTATATTAAGTGAAGGCGGAAGCATATGTAACTAAGATAATAACATTTGGTTCTTGGCCTTATGTTCCAAAAGCCTTAGCTTGAAGCCTTAAAGCAAAAGCACCCCATGTAATTCAATACTTGAATCTAGTAGTAGTTGCCTCTTAAAATAGATTATCATAGCTATTTTTGAATAAAAAATTACACAAATTATAGTAGATATCACAAAAAATTGCAGATCATTTAGAGATTGAAGAAGAAGCAGACAAGATTACCATTGAGTAAGCACTAGGGGGTGCAAAAAGATATTATGGGTTAAGCCCGTTAATTCCTCTTCTAGAGGCACTTCTTTGATTATCATGAAAAGAAACTAAGGATAACTCCCCAATAAATCAGGCAGTTTTCTAAACTAGTCCTCTTCTAGTGCTTCTAGAACAATGCCAACTTTTGAAGATAACCAAGCAAAGAAAATATGAACTTGTGATATAGAAACTGTAACTAAAATTTGGTTATTCTAATCTTTATTATAACAAAAAAACTGTTCTACAAGCTGAGGTATTGCAAAAATATCGTAAAGAAAAAAAATATTAAGTTTCCAGAAAATTTCGCATACCCTGGCATGAATGAACTCCTCAATCCTTCCATCTGCAAACCGCCCCAGAAGCCCAGGTCCCTGACCGTGCTTTGACATGCACTCAAAGGTCCTAATCTCATCATCCCTATTGAAGAACACTTCCACACCCTCACCATAAACCCTGACCAACACTTTCTGATGAAGATCACCATGCTTTGTTGGCCAGTTTATCTGATAAACCTCGTTAGTCATAGCCCCCTTCAAAGGAATCACATGAAATTCTTCCATATCTTCTATCATATCTCCCCATTCGGATGCCACTGCTTTCAAAACTTTCTTCAGTTCTTCTGGTGCAGAACTTGGAATGAACCCGTTTTTCTTTATAGCCATTTGTGTATCAGTTGCTAGAACTCAAGATTGCTAAACCTTTACCTGTAATTAAAGATTCCAGAAAAGATAACACCTTTGAGAGAAACCTTCATTAAATTGAGATATCAAACAATTATATTTTTCGAAAAGAAAACAAACAATTCAACCAGGAAAAAACACAGAGATTACCCAGAAAGAACAGAACAGAACAGAACTCAGCAGGAAAAATGTAAATAAATAAAAGGGATAAGGATCCAAGCCTCTCAGAAAGGTTATACTTTTATCAAATCCAAATCTTCATATTTATTCATAAAAGGAGTTATTTCCTAGCATTCTTAGACAATCAGCACCATGAACGTAACAAAAGCACAAGAACCAAAGAAGCCATTCAACCAGCAAAAAAACAATACAGAATTCGGCAAGAAAGAAACAAAACTCACCAGAAAACAAAAGGAAATAAATGCTACAAAAAACAAAGCCTCTCGAAAAGATCACACTTAAACCAATTCCAAATCTTTAAATATCTTCATAAAAACAAGATTTTTACAATCAGCAGCATGCATGTAACAAAAACTCAAAAATCAAAGAACCCACCTCAAATAAACGTTCCAAAAATTCGAGAAGCCCAGGAGAACACAGAATTCACCAGAAAGAAACACACAAGAACTCACCAGATAGACTATATATCCAAGATAGTTGCAAGCAACACACCAAAAGTTTTTTCTTTTCCTTATTGTAAAGTCCAAGTCCAAGAATCTTTGAAAGAAAAAGAGCTAAAGAGTTTTAAAAAGAAAGAACAAAACAAGGCAAAGAAATGAAAACTACCACCAATTTGTTTGCTTTATTTATATGAGAAAGCATCCCAAAGGTCGTTTACTTTTGCTTTGCTGACGTAATAGGCTCTCCCGCGTAAGCTGTCATTTACTCGGCGAGGGGCACCGTAACACTGTATGTCACGCCATCAAATGCGTAACACTTGTGACAAACCAATTATTAGTAAACACGTGGGAACTACCCAGCTAGAAGTCGGAGTTTGAGATTTGGTTGCGGTTGCCCACCTGGAATTTTGTTGGTTCATCAAGATTCCAATTTTTCCAACCCAGCAGTTGAGTCAAAGTCTTCC